ATCTTTTCATGGATGTATCCCTTCAAGGATTGAGGGCATGGGTCAATAACCAGGAAGCTTTGAGCCATTGGTCTGCTGACTAAACTGTCTTGCATATCAATGTTCTCGAACTTCTAGCGGTACTTTGGGCATTGCTTCACTTCCTTCTTCTCGCCCATCATTGTCTGATACTAATCACCAAGGGGGCACCCAGTCCAGTTGGAGCTATTATACGGGGCCCATGCACATCACATTCGTCTTATCACATGTCATTTGCCAGGTACTTTCAATTTAGTTGCAGACCATCTTTCATGCCCAGGCCAGATCTATCCAATGGAGTGGGCATTAGATCCTCTCGTTTTCAGGGACTTTTGCCATTGATAGGGTTCTCTCCAATTGGATGCTTTTGACATGGATCTCAATACCAAGTTACCCCTATTTTGGTCACTTGTACCGCATCCACAGGCTTTGGCGGTTGATGACTTCAGGCAGGATTGGTCACACAAATACCTTTATATGTACCCTCCAATCCGATTGTTTTATTGGGTGATTTCTCTTGTCCATTCCATTCCTTATAGAGTCCTTCTGATTGCACCCTATTGGCCAGTGCAAACTTGGTATGCAAGGTTACAATGTCTGCTCTTATCACTACCTCTCTGTTCCATTTTCTTCCTCCCTTCTTCTTCAACCACAATCTCACATTCTACATCCCATTCCTCCCATCCTGCATCTTCACTCCTGGCTTTTGTCCGGCCCTTAGTGAGAAAATCCGGTTTCACGCTTCAAATCACCACCTTGTTAGCTAGTTCCTTACAGCCATCTTCCATGAAAGTATACCAGTGTAAGTAGAAAGTCTTCTTCTGTTGGTCTGCTAACAGGGGATTTCCTGCTGACAAGCCTTCTGTGGATCATATGATGGAATTTCTCACCTGGCTTTTTGACTGTGGTGTTCAGTCTCCTTGCTTTTTGGATATTGGGAGGACTATACATTCCATTTTCCCTGATACTAATTCTTGGATTTGATGCAGATTCCCTGTGAGGAGGTTTTGGATGTAGTTGACTTAATGAGTACAGTCTGCCATGCCATAGCCACTCTATACCTCACAATTTTTGCTGTTATGCATTACATAATATACACATGTGCAAAGAAGAGTACATGTGGCTCAGAAGTGGTGTGGTTCCCCTCTTCAGATCTTCGTCTTTCTCTCATTGTCAGGGGTATTCTTCAGATGCTTTTGAGGGTACTTCTTTTGTTCTCTTGTATCAGGTCCCTCCTCCTTCTCAATGTGGGATTCTAGCTCATCTTGTGAGAGGAGGTAAGTAACATATCAGAAGTTATAATTTTCCTATACTGAAAATGTATTTTCGATACGTACTTACCTCCTCTCACCCTTTCTCCCCACTTTTCTCCAGTGCTGACATCTTCTGCCAAACTTCGAAGTGATAGTTTGGTAGAGGGAGTCACATGAGCATGTTATGCTCCTATTGGTTAAGAGATGACACATGATGATTTTCATGAGAGACATTTTGGAATATAGTAATTCCAACAAGGGAAGAGTGCAAGGCTTGAGGCATGCGTAAAGAAAAATTTGCATATAGATGGCAGCACTGAACGAGAATAACTAATCCTGTAAGTAGAGGTAAGTACCTATCGAAATTACATTTCAAGTATAGGAAAATTATAACATTTGTTTCATAAAAGGTTGATTAAAAATTACCTCTATATTTATAAGGGATAAGTTGGTTCATCGGACAGAAAACTAGCAGGATGAAAAAACAAAACAGGGTGGTTATAAATGGAGCTCAGTCAAGCATGATTAATGTCAAGTGGGGTACTTCATGGTTCAGTGTTAGGACCTTTATATTTTTAATTTAAGTCAGTGGCATAGATGAATGGTCAATAAATTATTTAAATTTGTTAATGATATTAAGGTGTTGGGTGTTGCTGGCTGTGAGGAAGTTGTGGCTGCTTTACAAAATGATTTAGACAATTTGGTGAGTAGTATGAATAAATGACAGATTAGTTTTAACTCCAATAAATGCAAGATGATGCATGAGAGTTATCATAAGTTGAATTATAAGTATGCTTTTAATGGAATAACCTTATCAGTGTTATGGGAGAAAAGGATATTGGTGTTCTGGTTGATCAGTCTGTTAAGTCATCCAAGCAATGCGCTGTTGCTAGTGGTAGGGCAAATATAAGTTTAGGTTATAACTACAGAAATATTGAAGACAAGTATAAAAGATATAATAGTTTCATTAGTTAGGCTGCATGTGGAGTCTGTGTTCAGTCTTAGACTCCTTACCTTAGGAAGGATATCGAATTCTTGAAAAGAGTTCAGTTGAATGTTACCTGGGATCAAAAGATTGTCATATGGGGACAAGTTAATCTCTCTGAACTTGTTTTGTTTCTTGAAAAAGAAAAGAGTTAGAGGTGTTAAAGATTCTTAAGAGAATTGATAGTGTTAATGCAGTATCTTTTTTCCTATTTAATATTGGGAATGATAGGTCCAGGAAACACAAAAATATACTTTGGCAGAGTAGGAGTTATCTTCAATTAAGATAGTTATATTTTTTTAACAGAGTCGTTGGCCTTTGGAATGTGTTTCTTTGTATATAGTGAAAGCAGTAAATTTAAGGAAAGGCTTGATAAATATTTGAATGGTTAGGGTTGGCTTAGTGTTTTTCTTTCTTTTTTTAGTGTAGTGGAAGCAACAGCTTAATTGGATCAACAGGTCCCTTATTGTTCTTAAATGTTTGATAAAATGACATTTTTTCTGAATTATATGTCTGTTTATTTTCTGACAAGCTGTATATATTGTATACCAGTAATTCTGTATAGAAATGTACTTATTAAATTATGTCATTCAAAATGTATACGTGCAGATACAAAGTGTTGCTTCTGACAAAACAAAACATCTTACAAGCTAGTTCAAGTGTATAAAATTTCTCTTTTATTTCATTATGAATATTTTTCAAGTGTCAGAAATTATTTGCTTTTCAGGAACTAACTTTTTTATGATGATAAAAATTCTTACTGTTACTACTTCAAGAAATAACTTATTTTGTTAAGAAAAAATTGATGCTCAAATTTCTATTAGCTTATCACAGTGAACTATTAATTTCTAAACTGTAAATACACCAAAATGTTTAAGTACAGCTATTACTATTCATACTTTTGTCCAAAAAGCCAATTCATGCAGAACATCACCTCTTTATTTTACAAACCATTACATAAACTACAAATTAAGAACATTTTAGTTATCATCAGAATTGCAATTATTATCAGAACAGTAAAAAAATCATGTAAAGTCTAGAACTTATGCCACTAACATTGTCAATGAGAAAAACCATTCAACATGATGCAGTGTTCTAAAAGTACAATGTAAGAATGATGCAAATCCTTGTAAAATATGTTTTATACAGTTTAGTGTGCAGTGAATTAAGTAAAACCAAAAAGATACACACTATATATATTATATATATATAAATACACACACACACATGTAATTTATTTTTTTCCTCCTTAATACACTTTGTTCTTTAGTAAATATATCATTTAAACCATGATATATATATACATACACAGCCAATGATGACAAGAGTAAACTTAGTTTTAAAAAAAGCAAAATGAAAGATGAAACTGGTATGGCTGCCATTTGAACTGGTCAACTAGTTGCTCCTAAGTTATTATTTAACTTACAAACAAGACTGTTAGGGAGTAAGCAGTTGTTAAAGCACTAGGAAGACCCTTGGAATTAAAAATAAATATGTAACAGCAAATACTTTGGTGGAAACTTGAGGTTGGCAAGGTGGATAGAAGGAGTCGACTTTAATGTGACTTTTGTATTATGTTTGGAATCAAGGTACATCTGTTATGTTTTGGGTGCTATTGACCTGATACAATTTCAAACAAATTGAAACAGCCTTGAATTGATAAAATATTTCCCTTCAGATACTTTGCTAGTTTTATGTTAAATAGTAGAAATTAATGTAAATTTAACCTGATAATAAACTCAGATATATTTAACTGCATCATAATGTTATAGAAACCATAATCAGAATAGGAGGTTTAAATTGTGCTGTTAATAGGAAGAGACTTAGAATGTAAAATATATACATGTTAATGGTGTAGACAACATAAAGGTACAAATTCTTTTAACTAAAAAAATAACTTTCAGGAGAACTGTTTTTGTGAGCCATCTGTAAATAAAAACACTTGCACTGCCCTTCAAAACTGGTCACCTGATCATCTACATGTAAAGCAAAGTTAAACAGACCCCTCCTCCTTCATCTCAGCCCACTAAAGCAAATTGCAGTTCCTTTGCTTAACTAATTTCAAAATCATCACTACAATGTTAAACATAGTTTAAGTTTTTTCCATTAGAATTGTTCTGTCACAGCAGAGCTTGAGTACATTCACGTGTCATTTTAAACCTCATGGTTTTTTGTCTGTTCTCTTAGTGCATTAATTCTCAAGACAAGTACATCATTAATGATGTATAAATGCCTTCTTTTGGTGGTGTTCTATAATGTTTTGTTTTTTACTACATGTACAAATATTTGTTGATGAATTGCTGTACTAACTTTTTACAAGTTTGGCCAATAAACGCCATTGTGGATAAGTGTTTAAATTGACATAAACAGATAGAGCTAAGATTTTTCTGAAAGGTAAATTTGGCTACATTCTGTTGGGTTTAGGAATTTTCAAACAAGTGATTCACTGCTTTTTTTCTTTCTCTTTCTCTCTTCAATAAATATATTTTTTGGGTGATTTTCCAAGCTTGAAAGAATCTAGTTGAAGTCCTGATATACATGTATGTAACAATGATAAAACAGTAATGTGAAACAAAAAACATTTTTACAACTTTTGTCATAACCAGTAGAACAAGTGCCATGTAATTTGTTTTTCTGTTATTCTAGTGATGTGAAATTTAGTGCACAAAAAAATTTATAATTTTGAGAGTGACCTTCCCATCTGATAATAAATAAGCTAATAATCAGTTATTTTTCTTTCCCAGCATGCTTCACTTAGCTCAATGAAGCAAGAAAGTGAGTCCACAAACAGCCAGTCTCTCTCTCAGTTTCTTCGTCAGCTTCTCACTCCACAATGTAATAGGACAGTATCAGCAAAGGACAAAGACTATGTACCTACTGTTGTTCGTACAATGTATGTTTGTTGTATAATTTTATGCAGGCATATAACTAAAATTTGAGTTAATTTCAGATAATTATTATACACATGTTATACAGTTAGACCTAATTTTAGAGTAAAATAAAGGGTATATTCTCTTGTAACCTTTGAAGTTATTTATGTATGCTTGGGTGCAATTATTTATGATTACAGCTTTAAAACAATTAAAAATGTTATATCTAGGCCCTCATATTTATTGATAATTAAAACATTTAAAATGTGGTGGGGTTTTTTGTTGTGCACAGAAAGTACACATTTTTTTTATAACAGTATTTATGTGCCATTTACATAAGTGTGAGTACATTTCCAAGAAAAAGATAATAATGTATGTAAGCTTTTATTTCTTTGCATGAGAAAGGAATTGTTGTGTGTGTGTTTTGTATGTATTTATGGATGTTGCTTTTGCTATGCAGGAATAATTATGTATCAGTAAAACTTTATAATTAATAATGTTTTTTGAACAGGAATGTAATTTTTTTTTCTGTATTCAAGTTCTTAAAATAATTATTAATTGAATAAAATTTTGTTTATCTTAGAATATTTTCCATAATATTTTTATTGGATTCTTTAGATGATCAAGATTAAAATTGCTAGCTTTGTACATGAAGGTTGAATTAATTGCACATGGAAAAGTCTGTTTTTATATATATACACAAGTTTTTAAAGTAAATTAAAGAAAGATAGAGTATTCTGGTGAATCTCATGATGTTAGGTACAACTAAGTATAAATGATAAAAATTATAATAGTTATAATATGAGTAATATTCAGGCAAGAATATATCAGATAACAATCTACAACTTGAATTAAATTAATAATACCAAATATTTATAAATACTTACAAGGAAATTGTTTTATTTTTATAAACTTTGATTATATCAGAGTAAGTTGATTTTTTACTCATTTGATGTATAACCCAAATGCTTGATCATTGATGTCACAATCAGTGCAAGTGTAAGTCTTGAATTAAGTGATGCAGTCATGCTTCAAACTAGTATGGGAATAAACATGTAATAATGAAAGTGTGTGTTTCATAAACTTTAGAATTGGCTACATTTTATATTATGAATTGCTAGTATTTATTCCAATTTAGAAAAATGACTTTATGAGCCATGTATCTACTTTATAACATCAAACTGTTTTCTGCAGGATTTGATTTAAAGTTTATACTTAAAAAAAAATTATTTCATGTTTCAAGGGCTTCTGTGATTCTTACGTTCACAAGTCATTGTGACTGTCGTCTCTCTCAGTGAATGTTTAAAATATATTGTATTCTTTTAATGTACTAAAAGTAAAGTAAATACAATAACTTTAGCAATTGATTCGTGATGGAGAAACCGAAGTTTAATATTGAAGATGAAGACGGTTGATAAAACATAAAACATTTTATGTTCGAACCTTGTAAATAAAATGTTTTATGTTTTATCAACCATCTTCATCTTCATTATTAAAATACAATAATTTGTATAATAAAGTTTGTAACATATATTTACTAGTTAAAAGTGTTATTTCAAAAGCAGGCTGGTTAAGTGTTATAACAGTTACCAAGTTGTGAAAATATGATGTGTTGCAACATGTGTATAGCACCAAAATTTAAATTTTCACAGTAATAGTGCTAGAAGTAGAGGAGAACCACCACCTCCAATCTTCAAAATTAGACATAGTGTCAAAGAAGGTGGTGATGAAAATGGTGTGCTGAAAGGGGTAGACTCGCTTGAAAATACAAGCCATACAGAGGAAGCCACAGGCAAGTTTTGACTTGAATTCTGTTGAAAACTTTTATAACATATTTCTTCTGTTTAAACTTTGTGATAATTATTGCAGTATTCTTTCAATATTCCTAAAACAGTGTGTGTACATATATATGTGTGTGTGTGTGTCTATATATATATATAGATAGATAGAGAGAGAGAGAGATAGATACACACAAACAAATGTTGAGAAGTATAACCTTCAAGATTTATAACCTTAAGCAGAATTTATTATATAGCAATAACACTGTATTAGATGTAGGAAAATGATCAAGAATGATATGTTTTTAGATACAAGTTATCTGTAAACAGGGCTTATTCATTTCATATGTGTGTTTCTGTATATCACATATTATTAAAATATCTGACTTATTGCATAAGAGCACTTATATTTTTTTTTATTAAACTTTGCTCTGTTTTTTTATAACCAACTTTCCAGTTTCTAATATTTTATTCTTGTGAGTGAAAGAATACATGCTAGTAAGTTTTATTATTCCAGGATCACGTGTTCTTTCATCCCAGTTGCTGGATTCACTGTCATCATCAACAATAGCTAGGGATATTTCAAGTAGGAATTTAAATGCGACTGACAGTGAAGTGAGACCTCAAGACAGTGGCCAGAATAATGAATTAAATGTGTCTCGGCAGAGAGCAGCGGCCTCACAGTCAAGAGATGTGCCATCTAAAGTTCAGGAAAATTTACCTTCAATGCCAAATTATAGTGAAATGTTAGTCTAGATCTGCTTTGTAGCTTAATTAGAAGTAATATATGTTTCAGAAAAATAATTAATATCACACCAAACAGGGATAAAGTTTCTTAATTACAGTGAAAATATTGCATTATTTATGAAACAAGTCAGAAAAATTACATCATAATCTTTGTGAGGATTGCTAATTAATTATTTTTTAGCCACAAATATTCAGAAGATAAGTTATGTTATAAATGAATTTTATGTTAAAATACCTGTTTATTTCAAAAAATATGTATTTATGTATTCCACTATCTCCTAGTAAATCCAAATACGACAAGGCCCCATTTTAGGCACTTGGTGGAAAAGTGTTCCACATCCCCTCCATAATTCTATGGGTAAGTGGAATTCTCCTTGCCCACTTGGGATGTTGTCTTTTGGACTTCTTCAGGTTGATCAGAAAGATTGTCCACTTTGGTGTTGCTTTCTTTCTTTCATAAATCTGGTTGTTCGAAATGCATCATTCTGTGGCTACTGATGAGGATCCTATCACAAAGATATGTATATATTTGCAGTCCAACTGCCCTGGCCACCAATTTGGAATATGGGTACCATGACCCCTTAAATCTAGCTCTGAATTGTGGAACCTCGGCTATGTGGTTGGGGCTGGCCCATCATACTTGTGTAATATTCCACCCTTTTCACTTTTCTGTAGTTCTGAGTGAATAGCATACCTGTTCTGGATGTTGTGCAGTGTACCACTTCTCATGGTAGACCTTTGTTCTATTCAAATGCTTTCTGTATGATCTGTGCCCTCACTGGCCCCTCCATCTTCTCAATGTGGGATTCTAGCTATAAGTGTCAGCAGAGGTATGTATGTTTTGGAAGCTATCATTTTCCTAATCTGAAAATGTATTTCCAAACATACCTCTGCTGACACTCTCCCTCTTTTCCTCCCCACTAAGAGCCTGTGTTAGGGACCGGGATGGGGAAAGTCTCGAAAAAGTGATTATATTGCCTTTATACTGTGCTTATATACAGTACCTGCATAGAGGGCATCTGAGGACCAGTGTAAAGTTTTGCAAATTAGATATATATAAAGACTGGAGCAAGCAAACACAGTGTTAGATGGCAAAGATGGAGATAGAGAAATGGCTATAAGTGTTTGGAAATACATTTTCAGATTAGGAAAATGATAACTTTCAGAAGTTCAAACACATCCTTTATGATCTCTACACTAAATAGCTATATAGTTTTTTTTCTGTCCATGAATGTTTACTTTACAAGTAAAATTTTGTTACAGTTAAAATTCTGATAACTGTTTGTTTCCAAGGCAAAAACTTGTCTTAGAATATTTTCTTCACGATGAAGAAGAACCAGACTTGCATCAACATTTAACTGCATTGTAATTTGTTGGTTGAGTTATGCTTCATGTAAAGTATCTGTTTCACATTTTTTTTATTATATCTCATTTAAAGTAATCTAAATTAACTTTCAATGTTACAAATAATAGTAAAGTTTTAATACTTATGAGTTTCTCAAATACACTTACTTGTGTTCTTGAAAAAGACCAAAATAAGATATTTTAACTTCAGCTTATTATAAGAATATATGAATGTATCATTTTTTGAACTTCAGAGATGTTCATGTTTTCAGAAATTCTGTTTGTAGTGTGAAAGGCAAGGAGCCTTTTATGACTTGTTTAACATAACACCTCTGTTGCTAGTTCTGAACCCCCCTCTGATCATCTCCACCATCGAGCAGTTCCTGGCACACAAGAGACCACATCCGCAAATGAGGCCCTTGGAAAAAATACTTCCAGGTATCAACCTAAAAATCTTGACCTGTCAAAACAATATCAAGCTCCAACATTAGATTCCAGTTTCTCTCATGAGCAAAAGAATGTGGTAAGTGTGTAACAGTCCTTGTGTTGCAACTTGGCTAATTAGTATTTGGCAGTTTTTGTTTTTTTACTTGGTAAGTATGTAAGAATCTTAGGCTTCAAAATTGGTAAGTATGTAACAATCTTAGTTTTCAAGATTCAGCCTATTGTGTAAAAATCTGCTTCATTTTCTATGAAAGTGGTTTTTACAATAATTAAAGTAAACAAGTAAAAATGTAACAAGATACTATATTTGTATGTGTGGTACTATAAATTATGTTTTTAAAATAATACTTTCTCATATGAAAGTCAAGTTGGAGCACCCCTTGCAGCAAGTTATAGTGACAATATCTGTTTGAAGTCAATGTTTTTACTTGTTCTAAATCTTGTACCTAAAAGCTTTGCTTTTTTTTTGTAAAATTGTATATTTTGTAGAGTATTGTGAAGCTCATGGTTTCGATTTTAAAGTAGAAAACTGTAGAATTGATTACTAATTGTAACATATTCCACTTTATCCACATAGCCAAAGGCTATGCAGGGTGAAATCCAGGTTTATTTGTTTTTCTGGCAACACTACCAGATTAATTTTGTGGAAAAACATCAATAGAACTTTGTAGAGCACCCATAGGGCTACCAGTCATTCATACACAAAATGATTATTATTAATTACTTGTTGCTGTATGACATTATTCTAATGTAGTTTATGAAAAACATTAAAACAAAATTGGTATTAACTGATTAAGTTGAATATTACTCATGTCTACTTCTAAGTTTAATTTATGAAGGTAAAAACATTAACAATGATGAGACTATACAATGGGACCTGGATTTTTCCCTGTCTTGGATAATATTCAGGATATGTTCATACCATCTGACTTGTTTGAGAGTAAGTTAATTTTTTTAAAGTTGAAAAGACAAAAAACAGAAATAAATTGATACATACATTTGTTTAAAGATGTGTTAACTTTTTAATATAATGTGATGTTTTTAAAACTGATTTTCATCCTTTTATAAATTGAGACATTTCTCTTACCTATTGAACAGGTTTAGCCATTTAACTTGATGGCATGCATTGGTACAAGTTCTGAGTTCTCTACTTGGATTATATTGGTAGTCCTTAACATAAGCTAAAGTAACTCTATAAATCAACCTAGAAAGGAAATATTTTAAGTGTATAGAAACCTGTTTATGAGGTTGTTATACTTACATTAAGCTAAATTGATATCCTAATTGCTTTGGTTTTAAATAATTGTAGCATAACATGGACTTGTATTTTTACAATGAATATCAGAAATTTATGGCTTTGTGTTTAAAATAGAAGTTATTTGAGTTTATAAACTTGCATAGGTTGATTCTTATATTTTTTAGGAATTTTAGAGCCTCTAATGGGTCAAAAGTAAGTCTGTAGACTAGTAATCCTAAAAATCAGAGTTGCATACCTGTGGTGGTCACAGCAAAGATGTCCCCCAGTGGCATAGTGGTATGTCTGTGGACTTGCAATGCTAGAAACTGGGTTTTGATACCCATGGTGGGCAGAGCACAGATAACCCATTGTGTAGCTTTGTGCTTAATTAAAAACAAACAAACAAACACAGCAAAGATATGCCATTTTGTACCTTTGTACTTAACAGCATATAAAAGGCCCAGCATGGCCAGGTGGTTAGGGCACTCGACTCGCAATCTGAGGTTCGCGGGTTCAAATTCCCGTCCTATCAAACATGTTTGCCCTTTCAGCTGTGGGGGCATTATAATGTGACGGTCAATCCCACTAGTTGTTGG